GTTTAGATTCAATATCAGGAAAAACCTCTTCACTATTACAAAAATAAAGCAGTGGAATAGACTGCCTAGGGAAGCTGTGGAATTTTCATCACTGGAAATTTTCAATAAAAGGTTGGATAAGTATTGGTCAGGGAAGATCTAGGAGTAACTACGCTGAAGTTGCTTTTTCAAGCACACAGTTGGAAGCCCAAAAGGTCCATTCCCCTGCCCTCCTCCCCCAACCCCACAAACTGGAAGATAATAGGGCTGTGCGAAGCTTTGGTCACTGATTTGATCTGGCAGAGATTCAGCCCAATTCAGCAGCCAAATCTCCAAATCCAGATCAAATCAGGAGACCTTTTAATCTCTCCAAATCGAATCGGAACCCTCCAAATTGATTCGGAGAGATTCGATGATTCGGACATGGACATGGCTTTAAATTTTTTTTCTCCGCCTCCCAGCTTCGTGTTCCTGCCCCCACAGAACCCATCTCTCACACACCCTAGAGCAGGGATAGAAGCCTGTCTGGCTCACCAGCCCTGTAGTGGCAACCCAGAGCTGTACCTCCTAGTCACACCCCCTGCTTGCCAGTCCTCAAGTGGCAAGTCGTAGCTGTGTAGGTGAGGGGCAGTCAGAGAAGTTTTTTAGCCTTAGGGTGTGACTGCTCCGAACTCAAAGTTTAGCACTAATACCCCTGAGCATTTGAGCAGATCAAAGTGCAATGTGTAACAAGGTCCTTAGAAAAGGGAGTTCTGGTTCTCCAGTTAAAGGGTGAGATTTGTGGAATTATGCTTGCTGTCCCCAGGTTGCAGAGCAGAATGGAGGGTGTTTGTTTGTTCCCACGCTTCTGGGCTTTCCTGGTTGTCTCACAGAGCCAGGAAGGAATTTTTCCCACTTCTATTGCTACACATAGAAGGGTTCTTTTTTTGTCTTCCTCAGAATCACTGTGTGCTAGCTGCTGCCAAGGCTGGAGATTTTGACTGGCATGTGCCAATGCTGCTGCTGGGATTCTAACTCAGAGGCCCGCTAGAGGGCCTTGCCCCTCTGCTCAAGGTCAGACCAATCACCACATTTGGGATCAGGAGAGAGGTTTACCGCACAGTTTGACTGGTATGGATTGTGAGGGTTTTGCCCTCCTTGTTATTAGGGAGCATGACCCTCTCCTTGGACCTCTCAAGTGCATTTTAACAACACTTGAAGCAGCATGACACTAACAGCCCTTATCCTCCTGCTTTACCATTGCAGATTACAGTGTTTTTGGTATATTTGGACAATATACTTTGTCGTTGTATGACAGGATTGACTGTATAATTTTAGGAATATGTTAAGCAAGGACTTGTATGGGATGGTTTGGATAGAGATGATCCTGCTGCACGCAGAAGATTGAACCAGATGACATCAAGAGGTCTCTTCCATTCCTAATTTTTATGATTCTGATTACCTACTCCCTGGGTTCCCAGCAGTGAGGCATAGGAATATAGATATCTATCAGAGGCACCTACTCCAGATCAGCTGCCTGTCTGTTTCCTAATGATCAGGTAATTTACACTGGTATACAAAGGATCTAAATTATACTAGGAAATGTATTTTTCCTTCACCACCTAAGACTCCATGTCCAGTTCACCCACTGGGATCCTGCTGAAATTTACAACTAATAGTAATATTAACTGATCCAACCTGTTCATATCATTAGGCATTTATAAACATGCTATGAGAGGCTGGGAGTGAAGGGGGACACTTGTATTAGTGCCCAAAGTATTACATGTATCAGTGTAATAATAAGAATTACTATTATTAAAGTGCCTGAAGCATTACATGTATCAGTGTGCCCATGCTGAAAAATGGCAGCAGGGCACCTTGAACTAAAGCTTGTTGAACAAGCTTTATTTTGAAGTGCCCCACAGCCATTTTTTACTGTGGGGACACTGATACATATAACACTGGAGTCTGCTGGACTGCAGTAATTCTCATGCTTCAGCAAACTCAATTACAGTGCATGAAGCAGCCTCCCTGTACATATATAGGAGCCCATTATGTTCAATGAACTACATGGCTAACAGATGGTACAATAAAAACTTCTGGCCAATACTAACCTAGAACAAATTCACGTCAGTGACAATATCATATTGTTACTGTACCCTGAGCTATCCACTCTTGCTGTATGCAACAGAATTAAATTACATTTCATTTTTATATGCTGTTCACTTTTTTCCCCCTAATATTCAGAGAATTAAGTAACCTTGAATACGGAAAACGTAATCATGACAGCAACCAAATGTGACTAAATAATATAAATAGTTTCAAGATAACATGGTTTTATATAAGTACATTTGGAACATGTCCATCAAATATTCCAGATAAATACATATTGGACTTCATCAAAGCCTTTGATTCTGTTTCCCGAGAGGTTCTCTCAACTAAATTGGAGGGTACTGGGCTGGATCAGTCTACAGTGATATGGGTGGACAACTGGCTTAGAAGCCAATCCCAGAGAGTTGTAATCGATACAATGGCCTCATCCTCGAGGGCTGTCTCCAGTGTTGTCCCCCAGGGATCTGTGCTTGGAACTGTTAATTAACATATTAATGACTTTGATGAGGGGGTGGAAAGCTCAGTGATTAAGTCTGTGGATTATACTAAGCTGTGGGGAAACGTGGGCACATTAGAGGATAGGGTAAGGATCCAGGATGACCTTGACAAACTGGTTTTATAGACGGAATGGAAACAGATGAGATTTAATAGGGATAAGTGCAGGGTTCTTTATCTGGGTAGGAAGAACCTTCACCATAACTACATGATGGTTGGTGGTAAACTGGCTGGTACAGCATCTGAACAGGACCTGGGGGGTTGCAATCGACCAGAAGATGAACATGAGTCAACAGTGTGATGAAGTCACCAGCAAGGCAAATAGAACTCTGCCGTGCATCAGCCAATGTGTTGGCAATAGATCCATGGAGGTGCTTCTCCCTCTCTATTTGGCATTGGTGAGGCCACAGCTGGAGTACTGAGTCCAGCTCTGGGCACCACACTTCAGGCAGGATGTGGATAATCTTGAGAGGGTACAAAGAAGGGTCACCCATATGATTAGGGGCCTGAAGGAAATGAGGAGAGACTCCGGGAACTGGGCCTGTTCAGTCTGAGTAAGATAAGACTGAGAGGTGACTTGATAGCTGCCTACAAGTATGTTAGGAGTGAGCATCAAGATCTAGGGGATCAACTCTTCAAGAAGGCACCTGAAGGGAGGATGATAACCAATGGGCACAAGCTAATAGAGGGAAAATTTAGGCTGGACATAAGAAAAAACTTTTTTTCCATAAGGGTTACCAGAATCTGGAACACTCTCCCAGCAGAGGTTGTGCAGTTGCCATCCTTGGATGTGTTCAAGATGAGATAAAATGGTACTAAAGGCTACTGACTGATCTGAAGGATTCTGTCACTACGGTGACTTCCAACACCAGGAACATATAATCAGCCAACACAATCTGTAAAGTTCCTGTCTAAATAAGGTTCACATAATGAATCAAATTCTCTTCAAAGCTAAAATGTCATAATCCTAGTAGTAATATTAGAGTGATGTTGTATCAGTGATGGTCTAGGAATTATGCAAGGGACAAGGATATCTTGGGGTAATATCTTTTATTGGACTAACTGCATAGTTTGGATAAAGTTAGAGAAGCTTTTGAATGCAAAGTTTTATTCAAAAGCTTATCTAACTTTATCTCAGCCATGATCCAATAAAATCAGATCCAATAAAAGATTTAACCCAAAAAATCCTTACCTCTTGAATAATCTTCCTGGTGATTCTATAGACATATTAATTTGATCAACAGCAGAGGAGCATTTGATGATTGATATGAATATTTTCCTTTTTCACAGAAGACGAAAGAAGAACAATTTGGCGCAATGAGACAGACAAATATGTACTAGATTTCATTTTATTTAGGATGAACATTCATTACTGTTATATGTAAAAGAATGTGATTATCATATTTATTCTCATCAATCTAGTAATTGGCCTAGGTAGGATGCAGGCAGGCAGAAAGATATATTGATTTTATATCCGTTTATTATGCAAGTGTAACTAAGAGGTGACTCTGGCTCAGTCTCACTGGCAGGTAGTAAAACCTGTTAGTAAGGTAAATCTGTTAGTATACTGGGCACTCTCTCCCACTCAAATTTTGTGAATTTACTGAGGCATGGACCTACTGAAACATGCATTTCCTATGGCAAAACATTTTATTCACCACATAGAATTATTTCTCTGCGGTCAAATACAATGAACAACAGTATTATTCATATTTTATCATTTGTATATGAGATGCTATTAGCAGTATTGTGCAGGTTAAATGGTACAATATAATAGTGATGATAGATACTACTAAACACATTTTGAAATGAATCCTCTACTATTCGACTTAAATATAGATGCGCAGAACATAGGTAATATTTTTTCAAAATGAGTACCTGTTGGAGTTAGGCTGATAAATTCCTGACTCATTTTAGAAAATGGGACATAGGCGCTTAGGTTGCTTATGTAGTTTCGGATTTTTATGGCTTGTCAGCACTAGAAAAAAAGTACTCTTAACACATTACCTAAAGTATGCTAACTGACACATTAAAGTCCTAGCATAGACAAGGCAAATTGTAGCTTTAACATTTTACCTAGGCGAGGAAGACCCCTGGAGGAAAGAGTATCCCTTGACCAACTAGCATGTATTAAAACTACAGATTGAATTGTTTATACTTGGAGTTTAATACATGATAGTTAGCACATGTTAAATGGAAACAATTATCCCAGGAGAAAGCCATACACACAGTCTGTATACTTCCCTAGCCAGTACCATGGCTGTAAAATTATATCAAATGCCTCTTCATTCTAAGGTTTCCAATCATGAATTCATGTTTTAAATTAAATCATTTAACAATAATCATTAGTGAAACACAGAAACAAACAGGAAAATTAACTACAATATTTCACATTTACTTTGGCAGACCACAAACATGCTCCCCTATCCTCTTACCTCCAATGGAGATGATTGTATTGAAGCACTGATCCCTAAATGGAAGATTAAGGTTGTCACATACCAATACTTCACAATCTTTCTTCTTTGAAATTTCCACTAATGGCCCACAGTAATCACAGCCCAGATTATACACCTGACTGTTGACAGTGAGGTACTTTCCAGTCCCACAACCTAAAAAAGACACACTTTGTTATCATCATCTGCCATCCCCCACAGAATGAAAACATTTAGTGTGAAAATACTCTTTTTAATATTTCATTTTTTTAAAATAGGCTGCAAAAATGAAATAGGGGCTTGATCCTGCAGACCTCTTGCTCACTGGATTCATTTTATCAATTTAACCAGTATGTTCACATCACCAGGCATAGAGTCATTTCCCCAATGACTAAATAAACATTTTGTTCCTTGGGCAACACCCTTTTAAAAAGTTTCAAAAAACAACAAACAACATTAAAAATCAATATTCTCCCTCTGATCCACAGTCCACACACTTTTACACAGACTGCAAAGGTTTCTCTCATATCAGTAGAAATTCTACATTTGCAGATTCTACACTACGCTCAACTGCTGCCACGCAGCCTAAATACCCTGGTACAAGGGATAGTCTCCTTGAGGTGCTGTTCAGGTGGAAGTTAAAGGAATCCTTCCATGCAGGTACTGGGCTACTCTGTAGCCACTACTACACACATCCCCTGGACTACTACACAGATCCCTTGTTAGTCCCTTTGCAAGGACTAACACTAACAAGAAGGATCAGTGAAGAAAGGGGGATTTAAGAGTCTCTCCCTGCTCTCCATCCTGGGGCCATCATGAAGCAAAACAGCATATTATATGTGTGTCACAGTACATATACCACTACAAATCCTGCCCTTACCTTTTGCCTGAGTTCAATTGCCAGTGGGAACTCTAGGGCTTCAGAGGAGAGAGCAGGATTTCCCTCAGACTGCTGCATATGTCCTAAAGAGCTGCAGCAGCTTAGAGGTGGGATTTTTTAACCTCAAAACACATGTTTAAAAATGGTAGAAGCTCACTGCTCCCTATACAAGAAAGAACTATTTCAGTGTCACAAGTCCATCCATCCTCTAACCATTTTTGCTTTACTCCATTACAGCAGCACATGTGTGTGACAAGCAGCTACAGAATGTGTCTTCTACCTGAAAGTATGTTTTGTATTACTAAAAGACTGGTGCTGTTCTAAATTGAAATCTTTCAGAGTGCTCTTCAATACCGTATGCATCACAGGCACTTTTCCAAATTAGATTAGAAAACATTCAGCACAGTTATGGGTCAGTGGTGAGGAATAATCTCTGAAAGTTTACAGCCCAGCAGCAGAGAAACAGCAAGACACAGAGAACCATTTCAGTATTAGTAATTCAATTTTAAAGCCTGCAGTTATCTTTAGAAACAGCACTGCAGCTGCTCTCACTGATGCTAATGTACAACATTATCTACAGATACAGTACAATATCGGTGGGAGAGCAGCAAAACACTTCAGGAAGGTTACAGGGAGGTTAGCTCAGGTTAAAAATGGCTACCTGATCTAACTTAGTTTGCCCAAGTGTGGACCTTGCACTAGCTAGGTGGATCCAAGTGCAAACTGTACAGAAATTCAGGACAGTTAGATCAGTCTAAAAATGGCTGACCCAATCTAAATTAACCCTACCTCTGAGGTGCACTCAATTTAGAACAGATCAGCCATTTTAAAACCAATTTAGCTGTCCCAAACTTCTGTACAGTTCCCAGCACAGCCCCAAGGCTGGGAAAGCCCTGTGGCTGGCCCCAGCCCTAGGGCTCCACTTTTCCAACCCCCTCACTCCACACCAGGCTATTCTTAGCCACCAGACAGACAACCCCTTGGCCTCCCCAAGCCTTCCAAACTCCACATCCCACAAGCCCCTCCTAGAGCCACTTTACTGGAGTTCACCAGTGCCAGGAGCCAAGAAAGTAAGTGAGATTGGGGGGAAGAGTTGGATGAGGGGGAGTTAGTTTACTGGGGGGTTGTTCATCCAAAAGTGGAGTGGCTAAAAATAGCCCCTGTCCTGAGAATGAAGAAGAGAGCCCCGAAGCCCCCTGCAGACCCTGCAAGCCCCATGATCCCACCAAAACTTCCCATGGACACTGATCCCCGCCACGGATACCACCTACTCCTGAATCCCCCACAGACCCTATCTGCACCCCCGATCTCGCCCCCTGCAGACTCTGCCTTCCCTCCAATCACCCTGTGGATCCCCCCTCCACGAGCCTGGTTGCCCCTCCAATCACTCAAACCCCCTGCTATTCCCCCCCAATCCTGACTTACCTTAGATCAGGTGGCCATTTTTTACTCAATCTAACCTCCCCAAATGTCCA